CAATACTTACAGAATTCACACATGTTGTTTCAACACGTTTCCACTGCCTTTAGCCACCTCCTGCTCCTCCTCATTGCAACATTCTAAGACCATGCCTCACACTCAAAAGTGATGGTACCACTATACACTACCCTGTTATGACTCGTCAGATAAACTTCTTTCCACAGACACTTCAGCACTCCAGCATATTTTTTTCCCCTTGCTTATCATATGGTTCACTTCCTCTTTCATAGACCCATTTGCCAACATGCCCACTCCTAAATAGCTAATACACTGTACTACATTAAACCTATGAGGGTTATTCATTATGACAGCTTACCTTATCTCAACTCCCACTTATTACACAGGCAGCAGCAGAAGTGGATGCTGTGGAGACACTGGTGAATACAATACGTGAAACCTTTGGTGGGTTAAATGCCAAGAGGGACCAGTGGTTTGATAACTACTCTGTCTTGAAACAACTATTGCAGAAAGACCAACTCCAACTCAACCAAATACTTTTTGTCAGCAAGTGGGTAATTTATTGTTGATGTAGGTCATTAGTGGCTATGCAAAAATAAATAGGTACTGTAGTTTAGAGTTAGAGGATAAATATTGGTAATTATTATTATTATATTCATTAGGGGTGGGGAAGAGTATTTCTAACTCATTGGATTAAGAGCCCTTTACCAGCATCAAGGTATTGACTGCTCTTGAAGGGTCTAAAGATTTGAATTGTGGAATGTGTGACACAACAAGCAAAATTGTGAATAGGGCAAATGCTTTGCATGTAAAGTATCCTAGGCATTATCCTGGCACTCGCTGTGATGCAGAGTCTTGCTTCATTTCCACATCTATGCCTGAAACAATAATTCAGTTGAATGATCGTTTTTGTCATAAGGAAACGTCACTTCTTTTCAAGCCTTTTTTGTTTTGGCTAAAAATTTCCCAATGAAACAAGGACAATGTAACATGAGATTGAGGTGTATAAAGATGGGAGGTTTCCAGACAAGAATAATTTGAGATTATTAATGCATTATTATTGAACCAATGCCACAAGTATGTATTGTGCTATTATCTATTACTACTTAAAATGATGCTAATACTATCACCACTAATGCTATAGTTACTGTAACTATTATTAGCTCCACATCTACTCTCAATACTGTTATTATTCAGGCATTAGTCACTTTTTGTGGAGGAGCACATAGCTTAGTGTTAACAATATTTTACAGCATTACTGGTGCCTTTTTTTCATATTCCAGCTTTTTAGATTTACATATACAGTGGAACCTCTACTTGCGAGTTTAATCTGTTCCATCACCTTGCTCGCAACTGGATTTCCTCGTTTGCAGTCAATTTTCCTCATTTAAATTAATTGAAATGCAATTAATCCGTTCCAGTGGAATTCTGTGCTTCAATAATTTCGCTAATATCAACTCTACAGCTTATCTATCTCACTTCATCTAATATGACGTAATAAACAATATAAATAACAGAAACCTGATATATATATATATATACATGTATATATATATATATATATATATATATATATATATATAATATATATATATATATATATATATATATATATATATTTACACTCTAAAATGAATAAAATATGTAATTCATGTAGTGGTATGGGTGGTGTCAGCAGTGGACGAGAATTTGTCTGGAGACAGGACAAAATATTTCTTGAATAATCTCGCCTTATCATCTATACGGGTTATTTATCTATCACAGTTCATCTAATATGACATAATAAACAATATAAATAACATAGAAACCTGATATATACTCTAGAATGAATAAAATAGTATGTCATTATATATGTGGCGGCGGCAGCTGACGAGAGTTTGTCTGGAGACAGGACAAAATACCCCTTGAATATTTCACTATCGTCAACTCTGCGGCTTATTTATCTATCATAGTTCATCTAATATGAAATAATAAACAATATAAATAACACAGAAACCTGATATATACTCTAGAATGAATAAAATATGCCATTATATAACATGTGGAGGCAGCCACAACCACTCCTTCTATGTTGTGGTAAATACTGCCATCTAGTGATGGCCTTTTGAAGCCATCTATTATTATAAGGGGTGGCTAATTGCTGAGAAGTGAACTCCATTATTTATGCTTAGATTTCTTTAATTTTTGGTGTACATTAAGAAGCATCTTTCCATCATACATTGCCCAAGTTTCAATAAGATAGTCCAACAAACAAATGAGATACAATTCCCAAGATCAAGAGCAAGAGCCCCTCACCAGCATCAAGGAACCTCCCTTGATGTCTGCTTGCTTATGGAAATTTTGCTCGTGTAAGGAAACAAAAAATTGACCCATCGACTGCTCGTATTTGGAAAAACTTGCACGTGGATGCGCTTGCAAGTAGAGGTTCCACTGTATAGTATATTGTACAGTGGACCCTTGATTATCGGCCGTAATCTGTTCCAGAAGCTCAGCCTAAAACCGAAATGGCTGGAAACCGAAATAATATTTCCCATGAGAATTAGTGTAATTACAACTAATCCGTTCCAGACAAAAATATTCACCAAAAAATAATTTTTTTACAATTAAATCAGTATTACATACCTTTATTAAAGACTAATGCTGGCTTCTGGAATGCCTGCTACACTCCCTGCATGCCTGCTACACTCCCTGCATGCCTGCTACACTCCCTGCATGCCTGCTACACTCCCTGCATGCCTGCTACACTCCCTGCATGCCTGCTACACTCCCTGCATGCCTGCTACACTCCCTGCATGCCTGCTACACTCCCTGCATGCCTGCTACACTCCCTGCATGCCTGCTACACTCCCTGCATGCCTGCTAAACTCCCTGCATGCCTGCTACACTCCCTGCATGCCTGCTACACTCCCTGCATGCCTGCTACACTCCCTGCATGCCTGCTACACTCCCTGCATGCCTGCTACACTCCCTGCATGCCTGCTACACTCCTGCATGCCTGCTACACTCCCTGCATGCCTGCTACACTCCCTGCATGCCTGCTACACTCCCTGCATGCCTGCTACACTCCCTGCATGCCTGCTACACTCCCTGCATGCCTGCTACACTCCCTGCATGCCTGCTACACTCCCTGCATGCCTGCTACACTCCCTGCATGCCTGCTACACTCCCTGAATGCCTGCTACACTCCCTGCATGCCTGTTACACTCCCTGAATGCCTGCTACATTTCCTGCATGCCTGCTACACTTCCTGCATGCCTGTTACACTCCCTGCATGCCTGCTACACTCCCTGCATGCCTGTTACACTCCCTGCATGCCTGCTACACTCCCTGCATGCCTGATACACTCCCTGCATGCCTGCTACACTCCCTGCATGCCTGCTACACTCCCTGCATGCCTGCTACACTCCCTGCATGCCTGCTACACTCCCTGCATGCCTGCTACACTCCCTGAATGCCTGCTACATTTCCTGCATGCCTGCTACACTTCCTGCATACCTGCTACACTTTATGCTTAAATTCCATGGTGTTTCTCACTTTACTACAAAAACTTTACTAGGAACTTTTTTTGGAGCCATGGTTACTTATTTCGCCATTGCACTGCAAAAAACTCACAAAAAACAATGGAAAACAAGCGAAATGTTTGGATATATGAGCAGAAGCTTCCTCACGCACTGAAAGACAGCCAAACTGACGCGCAAGCGGCCCCAGCCAGTGGACAGACGTGTCCGAAACAGCCAATCACCGAAATACCGGCCAATCACCAAGTTGCCGATAACAAGAACGGCTGATAACCGAGGGTTCACTGTATAGGCAAAGACCACAACCCTCAGTACCACAGTACCACTATATTTTAAAGTTTAACCCTTAAACTGTCTAAACGTAGATCTACGTCCACGTGCTGGAGGCTCCGAACATAGATCTATGTTTTTTTTACATTTATTTATTTATTTATTTATTTATAATTTGAGCACACTTACAGAGGTACAAAACGGGGAAAATCACGGTTGGAGCCCTATGCACGCAAACGTAGATCTACGTTTGGACAGTTTAAGGGTTAAGTTAAAATTTTTCCTCAGTCTTTAATACAGTGGACCCCCCGGTTAACGATATTTTTTCACTCCAGAAGTATGTTCAGGTGCCAGTACTGACCGAATTTGTTCCCATAAGGAATATTGTGAAGTAGACTAGTCCATTTCAGACCCCCAAACATAAACGTACAAACGCACTTACATAAATACACTTACATAATTGGTCGCATTCGGAGGTGATCATTATGCGGGGGTCCACTGTATTACTAATACTGGATATATACATATAGGGTATGCAGTGGACCCCCGCCTTATGATATTAATCTGTTCCTGAGAGCTCATCGTAAGCTGAAATTATCGTAAGACAAATTAATTTTTCTCATAAGAAATAATGGAAATCAAATAAATCCGTGCAAGACACCCCAAAGTATGAAAAAAAAATTTTTTACCCCATGAAATATTTATTTTAATACACACAAACTGAAGAAGACATGCACAGTTACTACTCTACAAAGAATAGAATACATGACACTTACCTTTATTGAAAATCTGGTGATGATTGATGGGATGGGAGGAGGGGAGAGTGTGGAAGTTATTGTTTAGAAGGGGAATCCCCTTCCATTAGGACTTGAGGTATCAAATCCTTTTCCGGGGTTACTTCCCTTCTTCTTTTAATGCCACTAGGACCAGCTTGAGAGTCGCTGGACCTCTGTCGCACAACAAATCTGTCCATAGAGTTCTGTACCTCCCGTTCCTTTAAGACTTTCCTAAAATGGGCCATAACATTGTCATTATGTAAAGTAAAAGGACACAAGTGCAACTAATGTGACATTTTATTGTGGCAACGTTTCGCTCTCCAGAAGCTTTATCAAGCCATTATGTAATGGCTTGATAAAGCTCCTGGAGAGCGAAACATTGCCACAATAAAATGTCACATTAGTTGCACTTGTGTCCTTTTACTTTACATATTGTCGGTAATTCTACCAACTTTATTACAACATTGTCATTGTACAGGTTGCCAACACAGCTTGCAATAGCTGTGTCAGGGTGATTTTCATCCGCAAAGGTTTGCAGTTCAGCCCACTTTGCACACATTTCCTTAATCTTTGAAGTAGGCAACTTCCTCAATTTCTCTCTCCCCTCCTCTGAAGCAGTTTCCTCAGGTCTGGCCTCTTGCTGTTGAAGATGATCTTGCAGCTCTTCAGTGGTTAGTTCTTCATTGTCCTCCTCCACCAACTCTTCCACATCCTCCCCACTAACCTCCAACCCCAAGGACTTCCCCAATACCACAATGGATTCCACAACTGGCATACGCTTCTCAGGGTTAGCCTCAAACCCTTCAAAATCCCTTTCTTCTACACATTGTGGCCACAGTTTCTTCCAAGCAGAGTTCAAGGTCCTCTTAGTCACTCTCTCCCAAGCCTTAACCTATAAAGTTTACACAACTGAGGATGCTGGTGATCTTTCCAAAACTCTCTTAGAGTCAATCGAGTTTCTGAGTTCACTTCAAAGCACTTTTGAAACATAGCTTTTGTGTAGACTTTTTTGAAGTTTGAAATGACCTGCTGGTCCATGGGCTACAGGAGACGAGTGGTATTAGGAGGCAAAAACTTGACCTTAATGAAGCTCATGTCCCCAGAAAATCACTCTACCAAATCTGAAGGATGACCAGGAGCATTGTCTAATACCAGGAGGCACTTAAGGTCCAATTTCTTTTCCATTAGGTAATTTTTCACAGTGGGGGCAAATGCATGGTGTAACCAGTCATAGAAAAAGTCCCTAGTGACCCATGCCTTACTGCTTGCCCTCCACAGCACACACAAATTAGCCTTGACGACACTGTTTTGCCTGAATGCTCTGGGAGTTTCAGAGTGATACACCAATAAAGACTTCACTTTGCAATCACCACTAGCATTAGCACACATCAGAAGAGTAAGCCTGTCTTTCATAGGCTTATGTCCCAGGAGTGCCTTTTCCTCCTGTGTAATGTAGGTCCTGCTTGGCATTTTCTTCCAAAACAGGCCTGTTTCGTCGCAATTAAACACTTGTTCAGGTTGCAATTCTTCACTGTCTATGTGCTCCTTGAATTCCTTCACATATTTTTCAGCCGCTTTTTGGTCCGAACTGGCAGCCTCACCATGCCTTATCACACTATGTATGCCACTACAATTCTTAAATCTCTCAAACCAACCTTTGCTGGCCTTAAATTCACTCACATCACCACTTGTTGCAGGCATTTTTCTAGTTAAATCGTCATGCAACTTCCTAGCCTTTTCACATATGATTGCTTGAGAGATGCTATCTCCTGCTATCCGTTTTTTGTTTATCCACACCAATAATAGTCTCTCAACATCATCTATCACTTGCGATCTCTGTTTCGAAAACAAACTTGCACCTTTTGCAAGAACAGCTTCCTTGATTGCCAGTTTGTTGGCCAAGATAGTAGAGATGGTTGATTGGGGTTTGGTATACAACCTGGCCAGCTCCGAGACACACTCTCCACTTTCTTCATTTCCATAGTAATTTTCACCCTTTTTACCACAGGGTTGGCACTAGAAGCTTTCTTGGGGCCCATGGTGACTTACTTTGCAGCTACAAGCACTAAAAACACTGTGATAATATGAAATGTACCGAATGTATGCTCAGATGTGACCGTACTGGCTGGCTTGTAAACACTGGCATGCACGGGGCAGCTGAGGCCACGCGGGACGCGTCCTGGACGAATCACATTAGGCGAGGCAAAATTTTTGTGTTCAAATGCTTCGTATGGCGGATTTAATGTAAGGCGATGTGTTCGTAAGGCGGGGGTCCACTGTATCTCATAATCATAATGTTTTTGCATGTGAACTTGTTTAATACAGCCTTAATTTATAAAAACAAATATTTTGTAAAAACAAAGAAAGAATTCTGAATAAGTGAAATGGAAAATGCTCTCTATAGTAAATAAAAATATGAAATTTCAAAAGATGATCTACTAAGGCAGGCACAAAATTTCAACAACTAATATTTAACAATACTGATTAATGAAAAAATAATTAACTTTCAGGATGGCAATACCCATGATTTGGCACTTATATGCAACTCAAGTAATTGCTCAGAAGACTGTCCTGCCTAAACTCTTGAATGACAAGTCCAAAACATTACCATATAATGGCACCATCTTGGCTCCTATTCGTCCAATCTTCCATGTGGAGATCACACTCGTGTTGCATGAATTCCGGAAGTAAGTTATGCAGACTAGTAACTGTGGTACTTTACATCAATGTCAAGTTTAATTGACATTTATATATACATACATTGTTGATGTTCTGCTAGAAAGTATCAATCCTGCCTGACTTTTCTGTGTGTAATTGTGGAAATACTGTTACCTGCCACTTCTAGTAGCTTCAAGAAGTCCTTAGCTTATCAAGGATACTCACATATTAGTGTTTTATTGTGCATTTTAATCAATGTATAGTAATTATTTAAGCAGTTGTTTCAGTTCTTTGTGACCTGCTCCCAGCTCCTTTATTTTGTCTGCAAGCCCTGGTACTGCATTTAATTAAATTAAAATGTATTTTCCACATATAGGCACCAGTATGTCTAGAATTAAATTTCACACAGTTGGGTATATTATTCAGTGATAGGTTTTTTAATCTGGGTATCATAATAGTATATGAAAACTAGTGAAAATTTGTGTACAGTAGTTCAGCTATGTTATCAACATGATGCTTATTGATTAATGAGATTTTTTATTAGTTTCCAGGTGGAGATCTTGCAGGACTCATCTCAACAGATCTTCCATCTCAATTTTGACTTCGAAGAGAGGTAATAATTATAGTACAGGTGCCAGCCATATTTTTTATTGAATGCTGTATGTTCCTCTTGTTATAATAACTGAAGCATTCCTAATTTATGTATGTTAGGCAGGCAATTCCTCTTTTCTGCAGTTTTATAAAATTTAAGTGATATTAAAAATATAAATTAATAATAATTAATATAAAATAGTAGTAGTAGCCTATGAGAGTAAGTTGCCTTTTTAGATAAATACAAATATATTTAAAATAAATATTAATTGTAAATCAAAGCAGAGCATAACCTCAGCTGTTGTAACTATCGCAGGCATGCATCACTGGGTGAGAGAAGCAATGATGGGGTAAGCAATGAGAGAGTGGTGCTGCACAATGATCAGTTTCCTGCCATCAACCTTCATCAACCTTTCAGAGTGAGTTACTGTGTCAAACTAGTTCACTAATGTGGGGGAATTTTAAAATATATAATACTAATATTCACTAGCTTTTAGCAAGTGTTTTTTCTTTACTCCAAAGTTACTTTATTATTGCTTTCCTTCTCCCTAAGAGTATCACTTTTGATAATCCTAACACTTCCCAAATGGAATAGTACTATATACACAAAACAGGGCTAAACCTCTATGGGTCATTCAGTGCCACTTTACAGTAGTTTACTGGTTCTGACTCTCTCTACCTAATGACAAGAGAATGCCAGTAGTAGGAACTAAAGCTGAAGTTTTTTAGTGCTCTTCTTGTGGAATTCAAACTGAGATCTCGAGGATTCCCATGCCCACAAGCTCGCCACTCAACCATACCAGTGATAAAGTTACAAAGCATTGGAAATGTTGAATAACAATAGATTCCAACTGAAATTTGAAAAGATCACAATCCCAATTCACATTTTATCAGATTTCTCAGGCACTCGGGAACAATCAACACAGTCCATATTAAAATTAGAATATATTATGTACAGTTTTTTATATTCATTGAAAGTACTAACAAAAATCCAGTAAAAATATTTGCAAGATCACACCAACTTTCCTGCATAACACTGCTCCTTAGCTTTCCACAATAATCACCATTAATGTGCTAATTGCATTACAGGTGAATGTACAAGTTGCTGATGACTGCATATTTGCTTCCATTTGGCCAGGCAACCTTAACTTGGATATACCACTGCCGCTGCCCGTGAAGTACAGTTGGTGCACAAAGGTCAGTCAATGATCCCAATGGTAGTTATCACATGGGTCTACATCATTTATGGATATATATTTTACCCGATACAGAACATGATTAGCTAAAAGAAATCTTCTACTCACATAGAGACTGAGACATGATACAAATCTAATTATTATTATTTCTAATTATTTCTTCAACACTGGCAGTCTTCCACTGAAATACGTATAGTGTTTCCCCCCTCCACCCCCCCCCCCAAAAAAAATAGGAAGCACATTCACAAGGGATGTGCTAAAGTAATGACATCGTATCAGTATGCACTAAATTTTGAGAAAATTCAGCCTACTGTTGCCCACACCCTTTCAGGGTCAGAGAATTTAAAAAAAAAAATTATGAAATGATAGATAATCTTTTTCCAAGGATAATGAAACCAAAAGTATGAAATTTGATGGAAAATCTATAGAATTACACTCTCGCAAAGTTAGAAGTCTCATTGCTATTTACACATCAGTGATTTTGCCCACTGAGCCCTATTTTCAACCAATTCCATTGTTCCAGTTGCTCACTCATAGCTAATTCGCAAGTATCCCTCCTAAATAAATAACAAAAAGGCACAATACCGTGACTGGAACGATACACAAATAACCCGCACATAAAAGAGAGAAGCTTACGACGACGTTTCGGTCCGACTTGGACCATTGACAAAGTCACACTAACAGAGGTGGAGCAGGACGGCTATATATAGGCAGGAAGAGGTGGAGGTAGTAGTAGTAGTACAAGAATTGTGTATAATACCAACAAGATGAAATTAAGACACATGCACAACACCCGGGCATCCCCATCGTAGACGTTTTGCCATCCAGCCAGCCACTGGATGGCGAAACGTCCACAACAAAGACAACCAGACGCCGCACATGTGTCTTAATTTCATCAGTAGTTGTAGTAGTAGTAGAAGAAAAAGAGGTAGTGGTAGTGGTAGAAGTGGGAAATAAGGATGACGAGCCAGTCAAAAACAAAGGAAGGGGAGCACTGCAAGAGAGCTAGATGCCCACAGAGGGAGAGCAAGCGCACAGAGGTGCATGAAAGGGGAAGTGGTGAAATAAAATAAATGAAGAAGGAACAGAAACACGAGACAGGAGAGAGAAAGACAACCCAGAGGAGAAAAGGAAAGAGGAAAGGGGAAGAGGAAGAAGAAAAAGAAAGAAAAAATGAGGATTCAGGTTAAGTCACAGGTGTTCTGAAGTTTGGAGCATTTTACAATGTAGTGGGAGAGGAAGGCATCTACAGAGACGAAGCCAGGGCTAAGGTTCATACAAAGAAAGTTGTGTATTAGAGAGGATTCAACTAGACGGCGACTGTTCGAGTTGGAAGTAGGGAAGACTGGTCTTCTGCTATAACTGTCTTCCCTACTTCCAACTCGAACAGTCGCCGTCTAGTTGAATCCTCTCTAATACACAACTTTCCTTGTATGAACCTTAGCCCTGGCTTCGTCTCTGTAGATGCCTTCCTCTCCCACTACATTGTAAAATGCTCCAAACTTCAGAACACCCGTGACTTAACCTGAATCCTCATTTTTTCTTTCTTTTTCTTCTTCCTCTTCCCCTTTCCTCTTTCCTTTTCTCCTCTGGGTTGTCTTTCTCTCTCCTGTCTCGTGTTTCTGTTCCTTCTTCATTTATTTTATTTTACCACTTCCCCTTTCACGTACCTCTGTGCGCTTGCTCTCCCTCTGTGGGCATCTAGCTCTCTTGCAGTGCTCCCCTTCCTTTGTTTTTGACTGGCTCGTCATCCTTATTCCCACTTCTACCACTACCACTACTACTACCTCTTCTTCTACTACTACTACTACAACTACTGATGAAATTAAGACACATGTGCGGTGTCTGGTTGTCTTTGTTGTGGACGTTTCGCCATCCAGTGGCTGGCTGGATGGCGAAACGTCTACGATGGGGATGCCCGGGTGTTGTGCATGTGTTTTAATTTCATCTTGTCGGTATTATACACAATACTTGTACTACTACTACTACTACTACCACCTCCACCTCTTCCTGCCTATATATAGCCATCCTGCTCCACCTCTGTTAGTGTGACTTTGTCAATGGTCCAAGTCGGACCGAAACGTCATCGTAAGCTTCTCTCTTTTATGTGCGGGTTATTTGTGTATAGTATCCCTCCTATTCTATCAACTAAGTACAAGAAACTGTCCATTTATACATTTCAGTTACCTAGTAAAGTGATCAGAAATCAGTAATTTGGCCAATTTCATACAATTAAAAAAATTGCCAATTTAAAAATAGGGTCCAGAATAAACAATGTACACATTCCTGGCACTAAAAAGCATTTCCTCTGTTCATTAGTTACATCCTCAGGCCTCTACTATATTACACTTGCTTTCTATTTTGAATTTTTATTCACACAAAAAATAGATTTACTGTTATGCAGACTACTTTAATATTGTAATAATTGTATAAATATTGTCTCATATCTAGGCCCAAATTTACTGCTCCCAGCTTATGAGTGAGCCGAGCTCATGGCGTAGTACTACGGGACCAACCAGCACTTCAAAGCTGTAGTACAACAGGACCCACCTAGAAAGGGTTAAGGTTACATTTTTTTTTTTTTCAACAAGACGGCCGTCTCCCAGCGAGGCAGGGTGACCCAAAGAGAAAGAAAATACTTTCATCATCATTCAACACTTTCACCTCACTCACACATAATCACTGTTTTTGCAGAGGTACATTGTTTCCATGAAATGCGACAATTTAAATTTTCCATGTTTATCCAAGCCCCTCAATAACTCATTTTCCATTCCATGTTTTTTTTTTTTTTTTTTTCAACAAGTCGGTCGTCTCCCACTGAGGTAGGGTGACCCAAAAAAGAAAGAAAATCACCAAAAAGAAAATACTTTCATCATCATTCAACACTTTCACCACACTCACACATTATCACTGCTTTTGCAGAGGTGCCCAGAATACAACAGTTTAGAAGCATATACGTATAAAGATACACAACATATCCCTCCAAACTGCCAATATCCCAAACCACTCCTTTAAAGTGCAGGCATTGTACTTCCCATTTCCAGGACTCAAGTCCGACTATATGAAAATAACCGGTTTCCCTGAATCCCTTCACTAAATATTACCCTGCTCACACTCCAACAGATCGTCAGGTCCCAAGTATCATTCGTCTCCATTCACTCCAATCTAACACGCTCATGCACGCTTGCTGGAAGTCCAAGCCCCTCGCCCACAAAACCTCCTTTACCCCCTCTTTCCAACCCTTTCGAGGATGACCCCTACCCCTCTTTCCTTCCCCTATAGATTTATATGCTTTCCATGTCATTCTACTTTGATCCATTCTCTCTAAATGACCAAACCACCTCAACAACCCCCCCTTTGCCCTCTGACTAATGCTTTTATTAACTCCACACCTTCTCCTAATTTCCACACTCCGAATTTTCTGCATAATATTTACACCACACATTGCCCTTAGACAGGACATCTCCACTGCCTCCAACCGTCTCCTCGCTGCTGCATTTACCACCCAAGCTTCACATCCATATAAGAGTGTTGGTACTACTATACTTTCATACATTCCCTTCTTTGCCTCCATAGATAACGTTTTGTGACTCCACATATACCTCAACGCACCACTCACCTTTTTTCCCTCATCAATTCTATGATTAACCTCATCCTTCATAAATCCATCCGCCGACACGTCAACTCCCAAGTATCTGAAAACATTCACTTCTTCCATACTCTTTATTTTTTTTATTATCACACCGGCCGATTCCCACCAAGGCAGGGTGGCCCGAAAAAGAAAAACTTTCACCATCATTCACTCCATCACTGTCTTGCCAGAAGGGTGCTTTACACTACAGTTTTTAAACTGCAACATTAACACCCCTCCTTCAGAGTGCAGGCACTGTACTTCCCATCTCCAGGACTCAAGTCCGGCCTGCCGGTTTCCCTGAATCCCTTCATAAATGTTACTTTGCTCACACTCCAACAGCACGTCAAGTATTAAAAACCATTTGTCTCCATTCACTCCTATCAAACACGCTCACGCATGCCTGCTGGAAGTCCAAGCCCCTCGCAACACAAAACCTCCTTACCCCCTCCCTCCAACCCTTCTAGGCCGACCCCTACCCCGCCTTCCTTCCACTACAGACTGATACACTCTTGAAGTCATTCTGTTTCGCTCCATTCTCTCTACATGTCCGAACCACCTCAACAACCCTTCCTCAGCCCTCTGGACAACAGTTTTGGTAATCCCGCACCTCCTCCTAACTTCCAAACTAACGAATTCTCTGCATTATATTCACACCCCACATTGCCCTCAGACATGACATCTCCACTGCCCCAGCCTTCTCCTCGCTGCAACATCATCACCCACGCTTCACACCCTATAAGAGCGTTGGTAAAACTATACTCTCATACATTCCCCTCTTTGCCTCCAAGGACAAAGTTTCTTTGTCTCCACAGACTCCTAAGTGCACCACTCACTCTTTTTCCCTCATCAATTCTTTTGATTCACCTCATCTTTCATAGACCCATCCGCTGACACGTCCACTCCCAAATATCTGAATACGTTCACCTCCTCCATACCCCTCTCCCTCCAATCTGATATTCAATCTTTCATCACCTAATCCCTTTTTTTTATCCTCATAACCTTACTCTTTCCTGTATTCACCTTTAATTTTCTTCTTTTGCACACCCTACCAAATTCATCCACCAATCTCTGCAACTTCTCTTCAGAATCTCCCAAGAGCACAGTGTCATCGGCAAAGAGCAGCTGTGACAACTCCCACTTTGTGTGTGGGATTCTTTATCTTTTAACTCCTCGCCTCTTTCCAAGACCACTCGCATTTACTTCTCTTACAACCCCATTATAAAATATATTAAACAACCACCCCCCGGGTTGGACATCACAATCCTTGTCTAAGGCCTACTTTTACTGGGAAAAAATTTCCCTTTTCCAACATACTCTAACTTGAGGCCTCACTATCCTCGTAAAAAACTCTTCACTGCTTTCAGTAACCTACCTCCTACCACATACTCCTCCTCCCAATTTGATATCCAATTTTTCTTTATCTAAATCATTTGATACCCTCATACCTTACTCTTTTCTTTGTTCACTTTCAGCTTTCTACATTTACACACATTCTCAACATCATCCACTAACACTTTGCAATTTTTTCTTCTAGAATCCCCCATAAAGCACCAGTATCATCAGCAAAAAGTAAACTGTGTCCAATTCCATTTTGAATTTGATTCCCATAATTAATTCCTACCCCTTCCGAACACCCTAGCATTATACTTCTTTTACAACCCATCTATAAATATATTAAACAACAATGGTGACATTACACATCCCTGTCTAAGACCTACTTTTACCAGGAAGTATTCTCCCTCTCTCTACACACCCTAACTGAGCCTCACTATCCTCATAAAAGCTCTTTACAGCATTTAGTAATTACCCTATTCCTTTTTTTTGTTTTTTTTTTTTTTTTTTTTTTTTTTTCTTTTTTTTTTTATTTTTATTTTTTTTTTTTTTTTTTTTTTTTTTCATAAAACTTGCTACATCTGGCCACTTTGCCTCCTCTATCCACTCTATCCATTATGCCTTTTCTAAATCCATAAATGCAATAAAAACTTCCTACCTATACTAAATACTTGTTCACATATATGCTTCAATGTAACACTTGATCTACACATCCCCTACCACTCTGAAGCTCCTTGCCTCTTCTCAATTCTACAATTCTGTTCTTACCTCTAGTTCTTTCAATTAAAACCCTTACGTTATATTATTTTCTCTGGTATACTCAGTAAAACTTATTCCTCTATAATTTTTTACTATCTCTTTTGTCCCCTTTCCCTTTATATAAAGGGACTATACATGCTTCTCCGCAATCCCTAGGTACCTTCCCCCTCTTTCGTACATTTATTAACAAAAGTTACCAACCACCTCCAACACTATATCCCCCTGCTTTTAAATTCTGTCATGATCCCATCAGTTTCCAGTGCTTTACCCCCTTTCATTCTACGTAATGCTCACGTACCTCCACACACTTACAGTCTGCTTTCTTCACTCCTTAAAAGAAGGTATACCTCCCTGGCCAGGAATGAAATTACCACTCCTTTGTTCCTCAACATTTTAAAGTTTCCTCAAAATATATTCTCGCCATCTTACCTAATACCTCCCTCTCCCCCATCTACTAACTCCCTACTCTGTTTTAACGGACCAAACATACTTTCCCTAGCTTTATTATACGTGTTTAACTAACTCCAATCATTTTTTCTTATTTTCATTAAAATTCTTGACAGTGGCTCTCCCACTCATTTTCATCTGCTCTCCTTTTGCGCACTCTTCACCACTCTCTTCACCTTTCTTATACTCTCCATATACTCTGTTCTTCGTATACACTTCTGCTTTGTTAAAAAACCTCTCGTAAGCTACTTTTTCTTGTTTTATCACACCTTTACTTCATCATGCCACAATCACTCCTCTTTCCTCCTAGCCCCCACCCTCCTATAAAACACAAACTTCTGCCCCACATTCTAATTACTGCATTTTTAAAACATTCCAACCCTCTTCAACCCCCCCACTACTCATCTTGCACTAGCCCACCTTTCTGCAATAGTCGCTTATATCTCGCGCCGAAACTTCCTCCTCCCTTAGTTTATACCACTTTCACCTCCCTCTTACTTGTTGTAGCCACCTTCCTCTTTATCCCATCTACCTTCATCTCTAACTGTAGCTACAACTAATAATGATCTGATATATCAGTTTGCCCTCTATAAACATGTACATCTGGAGCCTTGCCCATCAACCTTTTATCCACCAATTACATATCTAACCAAACTACTTCATTACAAGCTACACACTACCTTGTATAAATATTTATCTCTTTTTCATAAAAATATGAATTCTATTATTACCAAATTTCTTTACCCTTTTTTTTTTTAAATCCCCCCACCTTTATCCCCCCCCCCCCCCCCCCCCCCCCCCCCCCCCCCCCCCCCCCCCCCTTTTACACATAGTCAATTAAAGGCTCCCCATTTACATTTACCCTGGCACCCCAAATTTACCTATACTCCCTCCATAACATTTTTACCCACTTTAGCATTGAAATCCCCAACCACCATTACTCTTCACACTTTGATTCAAAACTCCCCCACATTCACTCAACATTTTCCCAGAATCTCTCTCTCTCCTCTACCACTTCTCTCTTCTCCAGGTTGCATAACGCTTACTATAACCCACTTTTCACATCCAATCTTTATTTTTACTCCACATAATCCTTGAATTTATGCATTTGTAGTCCATCTTTTCTGCGCATTGCTTATCCTTCATACCATTATTGTACTCCTTCTTTAGCTCTAACTCTATTTGAAACCCTGACCTAAATCCCATTTATTCCTCTCCATTGAAACTCTCCCACCCCCTTTCAGCTTTGTTTCACTTAAAGCCAGGACATCCAGTTTCTTCTCATTCATAACATCCACGAATCATTCTTTCTTATTATTTGCACATCACCACGCCACATTCAGACTTCCCCACTTTTGACAAATTTTCGTCTTTCTTATTCTTTTTAGTAATCTTTTACAGAATTAAGGGGTTACTAGCCCATTGTTCCCCGGTTTTTAGTTGACTTTTACAACACGCATGGCTTACGGAGGTAGGAAAGATTCTTATTCCACTTCCCCATGGATAATAAAAGGAAAAAGTAATAAGACCAAGAAACAATTAAAGTTAAAATCAAAGAAAACTCAGGATGGGAGTGTGTTAAATAAACGTGCTACATGGATGTGTAGTGTGACCTAAGTGTAGTAGAAGTAGCAAGACGTACCTGTAAATCTGCCCATATTTATGAGACAGACAAAAGACACTAGCAATCCCTACCCAAATATGTTAAACAATTACAGGCTTCTCATTTACCACTCACTTGGCCAGGAACGGTTGTACCTCCTGGGTGGTGCTGTCTACCAACCTACATACCATGGTTATATTCTAATTTCAAAAAAACATTTACTTTAGTGTAATCTATTCATTTGTACCTGTTACTGTATTCGCGCTTATTAGACGCACTTTTTTTTTTTTCCATTAAAAAAAAATTTTGTCTTCCAAAAACCACCCTGCGTCCTATAAACTGAAGGTCAGTAATGGGAGCTATAAGTTTGGGGCATGGGGTGGGCTGTAGCTCTCCCAGTTACGTCCGATGCCGAGCCATTTGAAACTAAAACAAGTCTTATGAGCCGTGATTAAAGCATGTATAGTGCAGTATTTTATCTGATGTACTGATCATTTTGCATATACACAATGGTGCAATTTTTGTTTTTCTCAATGATTTTTTTTTTTTTTTTTTAACACTTGGCCATCTCCCACAAAGGAAGTGTGACCCAAAAAAGAAAAACACTTTCACCAGCATTCACACATAATCACTGCATTGCAGAGGTGCTCAGATATGACAGTTTAAATGTCACTCTAAACAGCCAATATCTCAAACCCCTTCTTTAAAGTGCAGGCATTGTACTTCCCACCTCCAGGACTTGAGTCCAGCTAAACTGATTTCTGAGTCCCTTCAACAAAATATTACTTGTTTCACACTCAACAGACTAATCAGTACATAAATAATGTTTCCTTTATTTAAAAAATGCAACATGGTGTTTAATGTTTTGTACATTACCAGAGCATTTTTCTTCCTACAGGATCATCACACCACACAAAGCTTCTCTGTCATTGTACATTATGGAAGGGAGTCTGCAAGCTCTGACGAGTCTCACGAGTCCCTGGAGGACACTCAAGATGCTCTCCACCACCAAAGTGATATTCAACTCATTGCTGCCACCATCTATGATGGAATTCTTGCTCAATAAGTTTTGTCAAATGGCCTTGTTAATGGTAATGTTTGGAACATTTTAAAAGGACTTGGTATGATATAATTATATAATTGTTGCCTAAGGATTCTTGCTGATAAATTTCCATAATATCAAGAATTTTTTTTTTATGAGAGCCTAATATGTACTACTTTATTTTGTTACTCCAAGAAACACTAGGTCGCATATCTTTGTTAGTCGTAAGGTATAACAATAAACTTGGAAAGAAGGGCATACAGTAATAATATCTTTTATTTCTACAAGTACGTATACAAGGTATACAGGCCTAGCTGACATCAGTGACATAGCGCTTCGTAAATTTCGCCTTTCTACAACTTTTTTCGTCAAAATACAGCCTTGCAGTTTGTAATTTGCCTGTTCATTCGTCGGTCGTCCGGAATGTGTATGAGCAGCCTCCCTGCGTCCACGCCACACAAAGGCATGCCCCACAAACCATTCCCAGTCAGTGTGGCATTGTTTATTGGTGAGTAGCCATCACCCCAAGCGTTCATACAATACATTTCGTAATACAATGGACCCTCGGCTAACGAAGGCATCGTCTAACGATAAATTCGCCCAACGAAGTGTTTGAGCGTAAAAATTTTGGCCCGGCCAACGATGAAAACCTCGACCAATGTGATTCGTCCTGAACTGTCCGTCCAGCCTGAGCCCTCAGCTGCCCTGCATCATTGTTTTTACAAGCCGGGCGTGGGCCGGTTCCAATGCTTTACATTCAATATATTTTGTATTATTCCATTGTTTTTAGTGCTTGTAACTGCTAAATAAGCCCAAAGAAAACTTCTAGTGCCAACCCTGTGGTAAAAAGGGTGAGAAATACTATCGAAATACTATCGTACCACAGTCAGCTGCTGCTGCACCACCGTCAGCTGTACTACTTGAAGATGTGAAGAGACTGTTGTTGGTGTGGCTTAACGAGAAACAGTTACTGAGAAACAATTAACCCCAGAGGGTTAGCCACCCAGGATAAACTCAAGAAGTCAGTGTGTCATCGAGAGGGACTGTCTATAACTTATTTCCATTGGGGTCCTTATCTTGTCCCAAAACAGGATAGGATGCGACAGCACCAGTAGACTAACACCCAGTGTGAACAGGAAAAAAATGCCTGGAAACTAGTGCTCATAAATTAGTGAATTTAAGGCCAGCAAAGGTTTGGTTTGAGAGATGTTTAAGTATCGTAGCTGGCATACTGTGATGTAAGGCATGGCGAAGCTGAAAAAAATTCCAACCCCAAGTGTTCAATTGTGACGAAACGGGCCTGTTCTGGAAGAAAATGCCAAACAGGACCTACATTACTCAGGAGGAAAAGGCACTCCCAGGACACCAAGCCTATGAAAAGACAGTTGCCTAACTTTGTTTTGTTGTAATGCTAGTGGGGATTGCAAAGTGAAGCCTTTACTCATGTATCACTCTGAAAATCCCAGTGTTCAAGAAAAAGTCTCTCATCACTCATCAATACTCTTCAATAAGGGTATCATTTTAACATTTATTTATATAGTTATTGTGCATGTCTCATTGTTTTCTTTGAAGGGAAATCTATTTTTCATGAAAAAATAATGATTTTTTTTAATACTTTTGGCTGTCTGGAATGGATTAACCCTATGACTGCCGCAACCCCCAATCCTGAGGTGTCTCCTGGTGTCGCAAAATTAAAAAAAAAAAAAAATTATTTTTTCTTATGAAATGATAAGAGAATCTTTTCCCGATTGTAATGACACCAAAAAAAACGAAATTTGATGGAAAACTGATGTAATTATGCTCTCGCGAAGTTAGCGACCTCGGCGCTGTTTACAAATCGGCTATTTCGCCCACTTTGAGCCCTATTTTCGCCTAATTCCATTGTTCCAGTCGCGCAAACTCATAGCTATTTCTTTAGAACTCCATTTTTTCTATTGATTGAATACAAGAAACTGCCCATTTACCGATTTCAACTACCTAATAATGTGGTCAGAAATTTGCAATTTGGCCAATTTCACGAAAACTAAAAAATTTGACAATTTCAAAATAAGGTCCAGAATGAACAATGCAAACATTCCTGGCTCTAAAATAACATTTTCTTTGCTCATCAGTCATGTCTCCAGGCCCCTCTGATATTACTCTTGCTTTCTATTTTAAATTTTTATTCAAACAAAAAAATAGAAGACTTACTATTATGCAGACTATTGCAATACTGTAATAATTGTATAAATAACATCAACCCATTCATGACTGCATATTAGAATGGCTAGTTGGACATTTATTGGACAATGACATCATTTGTTTACTTTTGAACATTGGCAAAAATCAAACATTTCCCCTACTTTGAGCTCCATTTCTAGGTTCTTTTTATAGTAAAATCAATCAAAATCACCTCTATTTCTATAATATGTTTTCCATTCTATCAAATGAGACCAAGAAAACGAGAATACAACCATAAATACTATACGAAAATAGACCACAAAGTCGGCATTTTAATTAAAAAAACGGTCGGAGTTTTTTTTTCTCATTATGCACTGCGTGCTCCAGGATTTTTTTTATATGGTGCACACTGGCCACACAGACCCATTCTCTCACATGTGGGCCTACTAGCTTTCTCCTGCTTGATTTGAAGCCGCTAGAATTTATGAGTATATATACGTCAAACACGGTACCTCGTAAGACGTATATATACGGCCGCAACAGTCAAAGGGTTAATTGGATTTCCATCATTTCTTATGGGGAAAATTAATTCGGCTAACGATAATTTCATCTAGCGATGAGCTCTCTGGAATGGATTAATATCATTAGCCGAGGGTCCACTGCACAGTGGAACTCCAAATATTGTCCGCTGTGCTTATCGATCAATTCATATTTAGTCCAGTTTTTGGATGGTAATTTTGTTTTGTATTTCGGTCGGTGCCTCATAAATTGTCCATATCATACATGTCGGCCCGCCTCCTGCTGGGATGCCACGCGTAGGTGAGTCAAGTCTCCCTGTGTTTCTCAGTGAATGAGCATATATTCCGTGCATTCATCCAAACATTTCCTTAAAATCCATTGGTTTTTCTGCGTGCTTATTAAGTGCGACTGTGAAATAAGCCACCATGGGCCCAAAGAAAGTTCAGAGTGCCAGCCCTTTGGTAAAGAAAGTGAGAAACGCGATGGAATTTAAGAAAGAAGTTATTGAAAAATATGAGTGTGCAGGTGCTGGAACTTGCCAGGATGTATGGGAAATTCAAATCAACAATCACATCCATCCTAGCATAGAAAGAACAAATCAAGGAAGCTGATGCGGCGAAAGGGATAAACATGTTAACGAAAAAGAGATCACAGACAATGGAAGATGTGGAGAAGTTGTTGTTGTGGATCAGCGAGAAAGTTAGTGGGAGATAGTGTTTCAGAGACTATCATTTGTGAAACAGCGAGGCAGCTGCATGTAGATCTTGTAAAGAAAATGCCTGGAACTAGTGCTGATGTTAGTGAATTTAAGGCCAGCAGAGGCTGGTTTGACAGATTTAAAAAGCGTAGTGGCATACAGTATTGTAAGGCACGGTGAGGCTGCAAGTTCAGACAAAAATGCGGCTGAAAAACTTGTGCAGGAATTCAAGGGGTATGTAGAGACTGGAGAATTCTAATCCCAACAAGTATTCATTTGTGATGAAACAAGCCTCTTTTTGAAGAAAATGCCAAAGAGGACCTACATCACGCAGAAAGAAAAGGCACTGCCAGGACACAAGCCTATGAAAGATGGGTTAACTCTTTTGTTCTGTGCTAATGCTAGTGGGGATTTCAAAGTGAAGCCTTTACTGGTGTATCACTCTGAAATTCCCAGTGTGTTCAAGAAAAACAATGTCGTCAAGAGTAGATTGTGTGTGATGTGGAGGGCTAACAATAAGGCATGGAGTCACAAGGCAAATTTTCATTGACTGGGTCCATGAAGTATTTTGCCTGAGTGTGAAAAAATACATCCCTCCAGGAAAATAAATTGCCACTCCAGTGCCTCCTGGTAATGGACAATGCTCCTGCTCATTCTCCAAACTTGGTAGACCAATTGTCTAAGGATTTCGGTTTTATAACAGTGAAGCTCTTGGCTCCTAACACCACTCCTCTCATCCTGCCCATGGACCAGCAGGTCATTTCTAACTTCAAAAAACTCTACACAAAAGCAGTGTTTCAAAAGTGTTTTGAAGTGACTTTGGACACTGAATTGACCCTAAGAGAGTTCTGAAGGAATCACTTCAATATCTAAAACTGCATAACCCTTATAGGTAAGGCTTGGCAGGGAGTGACTTCCAGAACTTTGAACTCTTCTTGGAGAAAATTGTGGCCAGAATGTGTCCTCAAGAAAGATTTTGAAGGGTTTGAGGCTGACCCTGATGACCCTATGCATGTTGTGGAATCTATTGTCTTTGGGGAAATCCATGGGATTGGATGTAAGTGACAAGGATGTGGAAGAGTTGGTGGAGGACCACAGGGAAGAGCTAACCACTGAAGAGCTGCAACACCTTCAACTGGAACAGCAACAGACCACAGTTGAGGAACTTACTTCAGAGGAGGAGAAAGAAAGGGAAGGAGGTACCTTCTTCAGAAATTAAGGAGATTTGTGCAATGTGGAGTAGGGTGGAAGCTTTTGCTGAGAAATATCATCCTGACCAAGCTGAAACAAGCCATATCTGCAACATGTTCAGTGACAAAATTTTGGCCCACTTCAGGCAAATCTTAGAGAGGCGCCAGAAACAGAACTCTCTGGACAGGTTTTTTGTGCGACAGGGGTGCAGTGACTCTCAAGCTGGTCCTAGTGCCATTAAAAGACGAAGAAGGGAAGTAACCCCAGAGAGGGACTTGTTACCTGAAGTCATTATGGAAAGGGATATCCTTTCCAGACAGTAACCCCAACTCCCTCTCCCCTCCTTGCCTAATTCCATATGCCAACAAGTGTCTTTAATAAAGGTATGTAATGTTTATATTATTTATCATTGTTTTGTGTATGTAAGAGTATGGTTAAACTTTACAAAATGTATTTTTTTTTATTTTTTTTTTATTAACACACTGGCCGATTCCCACCAAGGCAGGGTGGCCCGAAAAAGAAAAACTTTCGCCATCATTCACTCCATCACTGTCTTGCCAGAAGGGTGTTTTACACT